TGTGGACCCTGCTGTGGGGTCCCTCGAATCAGGTAATATGCTGATCCAGCCCTTTCCAGACAGGCACACCTGTGGACAATGTCACTGGGTCCCTCATCATGGGGAACATTCTGCTCCATCCCATTCCATACAGGCACACCTGTGAAAGCTGTTGCAGAGTCACTTGTTGAGGGGAACAGGACGATCAACCCAGTTCCAGACAAGCACACCTGTGGATGCTGTCTCAGGGTACATTGTTGTGGGGAACACACTGATCCATCCCATTCCATACAGGAAAACCTGTGGACACCATTGCAGGTTCCCATGTCACAGGGAAGATGCTGCTCCAGCCTGTTCCAGACAGGCACACCTGTGGATGCCATCAAGGGGTTCCTCATTGTGGGGAACACACTGATCCAGCCCCTTCCAGACAAGCACACCAGTGGATGCTGTCTTGTCAAGGGGAACATGCCACTCCATCCCGTTCCAGACAGGTACAACTGTGGACACCTGCAAGGGTCCCTCAATGTGGGTAATATGCCAATCCTCATCACATAGTCCCTTGTCATGGGGAACATGCTTCTCCAGCCCATTCCAGACAGGCACAAATGCGGACACGAATGCTGGGTCCCATGTCACGGGGAGCACACCACTCTAGCGCATTGCAGACAAACACACCTGTGTAAGCTGTTGTGGGGACCCTCATCATGGCTAACACGGTGCTGCAGTAAATTCCAGACAGGCACACCTCTGACACCATTGTGGGTGGCCTCATCATGGGGAACATGATGCTCCAGCCCATTCCAGACAGGCACATATGTGGATGCCGTGGGAGAGTCCTTCATGACAGGAAACATGCTGCTCCAGCCTGTTTCATACAGGCATACCTATAGACATCACCCTGGAGTCCCTCATCAAAGGGAAAATCCTGCTCCAGCCTGTTCCAGACAGGTACAAATGTAGACACCATTGCAGAGTTCCTTGTCATATGAAATATGCCACTCTGTCCCTTTCCAGATCAATACACTTGTGGACATGGACACAGGGTCCTTCTTCACAGGGAACATGCCACTGTACCAGTTGCAGACAGGCAGACCTGTGGATGCCGACGTGGGGTCCTTCATCATGGGGAACATGTTGCTCCAGCCCATTCCAGACAGGCACTCCAGCGGACGCCCTCATGGGATTCCTCATTGTGGGTAACATGCCAATCCATCCCAATCCAGACAGGGACACATGTGGATGACATTACAGGAGACTTCGTCCCACAAAACAGGCCTATCCAGGCCATTACACACAGGCATACATGTGGATGCTGTTGCTAGATCACTTGTCGCAGAGAACACATCAATCCAGCCCACTCTAGACAGGCACAGCTGCAGATGAAGTCACTGGGACCCTAGGTTCAGGGAACATGCTGCTCCAGCCTGTTTGTTACAGGCACAACTTGGACTCTGTCATGGGGTCCCTCATCATGAGGAACATGCCCCTCCATCCCATTCCAGACAGGTACACCTATGGATGGCGTCATGGGGTTCGTCATTGCAGGGAACATGCCAATCCATCCAGCTCCAGACAGGACACCATCCAGTGTCAGTGATCTTGGGGAACACTACCCTCCAGCTTGTTCCAGACAGGCACACCTTGGGACACCGTCACAGGGTCCCTCATCCTGGGGAACATGCTGATTGAGACCGTTCTAGACAGGCACACCTGTGGACTCCATTGTGGAATCCGTCATCATGGGGAACAGGCTACATCATCTCGTTCCAGTCAGGCATAACTGCGGACGAAGTCACGGGGACCCAAGTGGTGGACAACACGCCACTCCAGCCCATTCCAGATAGGCAAACCTGTGGATGCCATTGCAGGGTCCCTCATAGCATGGAACACACCCCTCCAGCCCTTTTCATACAGGCACACTTGTGGATGCCATCGCGGGTTCCTTCATCATTTGGAACATGCTGCTCCAGACTGTTTCAGACAGGCACACCTGTGGACACTATCACGGGGTTCTTCCTCATGGGGAACATTTAGATCCCTCCCGCTCCAGACAGGCACACATGTGGATGACATCACAGGGTACCCTGTCTCGGGTAGCACGCCTATCCAGCCCCTTACAGTCAGGCACACCTGTGGATGCCGTGGGTCACTCAACATGGGGAAAACTCTGCTTGTGCACGTTCTAGACAGGCACACCTGGGGATGACATTGAGGGGTTACTCATCATGGGGAAAACACCAAACAATCCCCTTCCAGACAGTCACACCTGTGCACACCAACATGTGGTTCCTCATCATGGGGAACATTCCGCTCCAGCCTATTCCATACAGGCATACCTGTAGACACCACACTGAAGTTCCTCATCACAGGAAACATGCTGCTCCAGCATGTTCCAGACAGGCATACCTGTAGACACCATTGCAGAGTTCCTTGTCACATGGAATATGCCACTCTGGCCCTTTCCAGACTAATACACTTGTGGACATGGTTACAGGGTCCCTCTTCACAGGGAACACACCACTAAACCAGTCCCAGACAGGCAGACCTGTGGATGCCATCATGGGGTCCTCCATCACAACGAATATGCTGCTCCGGCCCGTTCCAGACAAGGCACACCTGTGGATGAACTCATGAGGTTCCTCATTGTGGTTAACATGTTGATCGATCCCACTCCAGACAGGGACACATTTGGATGCCATTACATGAGACCTTGTCCAACAAAACATGCCTATCCAGGCCATTACAGACAGGCACACCTGTGGACGCTGTTACTAGATCCCTTGTCACAGAGAACACACCAATCCAGCCCATTCCTGCCAGGCACAGCTGCAGACGAAGTCACAGGGACCCTAGGTTCAGGGAACATGCTGCTCCAGCCTGATCCTTACAGGCACAACTTGGACACTGTCATGGGGTCCCTCATCATGGGGAACATGCCCCTCCATCCCGTTCCAGACAGGTACACCTATGGATGGCATCACAGGGTTCCTTGTTGCAGGGAACATGCAAAATCCATCCAGCTCGACAGGACACCATCCAAGGTCAGTGGTCTTGGGGAACACTACCCTCCAGCCCGTTCCAGACAGGCACACCTTGGAACACTGTCACAGGGTCCCTCATCCTGGGGAACATGCCACTTGAGACTGTTCTAGACAGGCACACCTGTGGACTCCATTGCAGAATCCCTCATCATGGGGAACAGGCTGCACTATCCCATTCCCGGCAGTCACAACTGTGGACAAAGTCATGAGGACCCTAGTGGTGGGGAACACACAACTCCAGCCCGTTCTAGACAGGTAAATCTGTGGACGCTATTCCAGGGTCCCTCATACCAGGGAACACACCCCTCCAGCCCTTTCCATACAGGCACACCTATGGATGCCATCACGGGTTTCTTCATCACTTGAAACACGCTGCTCCAGCCCGTTTCAGACAGGCACAACTGTGGACAATGTCACAGGTTTCTTGGTCATGGGGAACATGCCGATCCCTCTCTCTACAGAAAGGCACACATGTGGATGACATCACAGGGAACACTGTCTCAGAGAACATGCCTATCCATCCCATTACAGGCAGGTACACCTGTGGATGCCACAGTAGGGTCACTCAACATAGGGAAAAAACAGCTTGTGCCCGTTCCAGACAGGCACAACTGTGGATGCTGATGAGGGGTTCTTCATCATGGGGAACATGCCAATCCATCCCTTTCCAGACAGTCTCACCTGTGGACCCCAACATGTGGTGCTCGTCGTGGGGAACAAGCCGATACAGACCATTCCAGAAAGGCACAGCTGTGGACACCATCGTGGCATCTCATCACAGGGAACATGCTGATCCACCCCATTCCAGACAGGCACACCTGTGGACAAACTCATGAGGTTCCTCATTGTGGGTAACATGCCGATCCATCCCAATCCAGACAGGGACACATGTGGACACCATTACATGAGACCTCGTCCCACAAAACATGCCTATCCAGGCCTTTACAGAAAGGCACACCTGTGGACGCTGTTGCTAGATCCCTTGTCACAGAGAACACATCAGTCCAGCCCATTCCAGTCAGGCACAGATGCAGATGAAGTGACAGGAACCCTAAGTTCAGGGAAGATGCTGCTGCAGCCTGTTCCTTACAGGCACACTTTGGACTCTGTCATGGGGTCCCTCATTATGGGGAACATGCCCCTCCATCCTGTTCCAGAGAGGTACACATATGGGTGGTTTCTCCGAGTTCTTTGTTGCAGGGAACATGCCAATCCATCCAGCTCCAGACAGGGACACATGTGGATGCCATTACATGAGACCTCGTCCCACAAAACATGCCTATCCAGGCTGTTACAGACAGGCACACCTGTGGATGCTGTTGCTAGATACCTTGTCACAGAAACACACCAATCCAGTCCATTCCAGCCAGGCACAGCTACAGATGAAGTCACAGGGACCCTAGGTTCAGGGAACATGCTGCTCCAGCCTGGGCCTTACAGGCACACCTTGGACTCTGCCATGGGGTCCCTCATCATGGGGAACATGCCCCTCTATCCCGTTCTGACAGAAACACCTATGGATGGCATCACGGGGTTCCTTGTTGCAGGGAACATGCCAATCCATCCAGCTCCAGATAGGACACAGTCCAGGGTCAGTGGACTTGGGGAACACTACCCTCCAGCCCGTTCCAGACAGTTACACCTTGGGACACTGTCACAGGGTCCCTCATCCTGGGGAACATTCTGATTGAGACTGTTCTAGACAGGCACACCTGTGGACTCCATTGCGGAATCCCTCAACATGGGGAACAGGCTGCACTGTCCTGTTCCAGGCAGGTACAACTGTGGATGAAGTCACTCGGACCCAAGTGGCCAGGAACACACCACTCCAGCTGGTTCCAGACAGGCAAACCTGTGGACGCCATTACAGGATCCCTCATAGCAGGGAACACACCCCTCCAGCCCTTTCCATACAGGCACACCTGTGGATGCCATTGCAGGTTCCTTCATCACTTAGAACACGCTGCTCCAGCCCGTTTCAGACAGGCACACCTGTGGACACTATCATGGGGTTCTTCCTCATGGGGAACATGTTGATCCCTCCCACTCCAGACAGGCACACATGAGGACGACATCACAGGGTACCTTGTCTCGAGGAACACACCTATCCAGGCCCTTACAGGCAGGCACACTTGTGGATGCCGTGGAAGAGTCACTCAACATGGGAAAAACCCTGCTTGTGCACGTTCTAGACAGGCACACCTGGGGATGACATTGAGGGGTTCCTCATCACGGGGAACATGCCAATCCATCCCCTTCCAGTCAGTCTCACCTGTGCACACCAACACATGGTCCCTCATCATGGGGAACATGTTGCTCCAGCCTGTTCCATACAGGCATACCTGTAGACACCACACCGAAGTTCCTCATCACAGGGAACATGCTGCTCCAGCATGTTCCAGACAGGCACACCTGTAGACACCATTGCAGAGTTCATTGTCACATGGAATATGTCACTCTGGCCCTTTCCAGACTGACACACTTGTGGACATGGTCACAGGGTCCCTCTTCACAGGGAACATACCACTGTAGCAGTTCCAGACAGGCAGACCTGTGGATGCCATCGTGCGGTAATTCATCACAGGTAACATGCTGCTCCAGCCCATTCCAGACAGGCACACCTGTGGACTAACTCATGAGGTTCCTCATTATGAGCAACATGCCGATCCATCCCAATCCAGACAGGGACACAGGTGGACGCCATTACATGAGACTTCGTCCCACAAAACACGCCTATCCAGCCCGTTACAGATAGGCAAACCTATGGACACTGTTGCTAGAACATATCAATCCAGCCCATTCCAGCCAGGTACAGCTGCAGACGAAGTCACAGGGACCCTAGGTTCAGGGAACATGCTGCTCCAGCCTGATCCTTACAGGCACACCTTGGACTCTGCCATGGGGTCCCTCATCATGGGGAACACACCCCTCCATCCCATTCCAGACAGGTACACCTATGGATGCCATCATGGGGTTCCTTGTTGTAGGGAACATGCCAATCCATCCGGCTCCAGACAGGACACTGTCCAGGGTCAGTTGTCTTGGGGAACACTACCCTCCAGCCCGTTCCAGACAGGCACACCTTGGGACACTGTCACAGGGCCCCTCATCCTGGGGAACATGCCACTTGAGACTGTTCTAGACAGGCACACCTGCGGACTCTATTGTGGAATCCCTCATCAGGGGGAACAGGCTGCACCATCCCATTCCCGGCAAGCACAACTGTGGACAAAGTCATGAGGACCCTAGTGGTGGGGAACACGCCACTCCAGCCCGTTCTACACAGGTAAACCTGTGGACGCCACTGCAGGGTCCCTTGTACCAGGGAACACACCCCTCCAGCCCTTTCCATACAGGCACACCTGTGGATGCCATCACGGGTTTCTTCATCACTTGGAACATGCTGCTCCAGCCAGTTTCAGACAGGCACACCTGTGGACACTGTCATGGGGTTCTTCAGCATGGAGAACATGCCGATCACTCCCACTACACAAAGGCACACATGTGGATGACATCACAGTGAACATTGTCTCAGGGAACATGCCTATCCATCCCATTACAGGCAGGTACACCTGTGGACGCCATAGTAGGGTCACTCAACATAGGGAAAAACCAGCTTGTGCCTGTTCCAGACAGGCACAACTGTGGATGCTGACGAGGGGTTCTTCATCATGGGGAACATGCCAATCCATCCCTTTCCAGACAGTCTCACCTGTGGACCCCAACATGTGGTGCTCGTCGTGGGGAACATGCCACTCCAGCCCATTCCATAAAGGCATACTTGTGGACGATGATGCTGGTTCCCTCATCACAGGGAGCACGCCACTCCAGAACATTCCAGACAAGCACAACTGTGGATGCCATCGTGGGGTCCCTGATTACAGGGAACATGCCAGTCCTGTCCTTTCCAGACAAGCACACCTGTGGACAACGTTGGGGGGTACTTCATCACTTGGAACACGCCAATCCAGCCCCTTTAAAACAAGCACACATGTAGATGATATCATGGTGTCTCCCGTTATGTGGAACACACTGATCCACCCCATTCCAGACCAGCGAAAGTGTGGACACCATCACGGAGTCCCTCATTATGGAGAACAAGCCGATACAGCCCATTCCAGAAAGGCACAGCTGTGGACACCATTGTGGCATCTCTCATCTCAGGGCACACGCTGATCCACCCCACTACAGACAGGCAAACCTGTGGACACCATCACAGGGTCCCTTGTTGCAGGGAACATGCTTCTACAACCCTTTCCAGACAGACACACTTGTGGACAATGGCACTGGGTCCCTCATCGTGGGGAACATTCTGCTCCAGTACATTCCAGACAGGCACACCTGTGGATGAACTCCTGAGGTTCCTCTTGTGGGTAACATGCTGATCCATCCCAATCTATGCTGGGACACATGTGGATGCCATTATATGAGACCTTTACAGACAGGCACACCTGTGGATGCTGTTGCTAGATCCCTTCTCAAAGAGAACACACCAATCCAGCACATTCCAGCCAGGCACAGCTGCAGACGAAGTCACAGGGACCCTAGGTTCAGGGAACATGTTGCTCCAGCCTGTTCCTTACAGGCGCACTTTGGACTCTGTCATCGGGTCCCTCATCATGGGGAACATGCTGCTGCAGACCGTTCTAGACAGGCACACCTGTGGACTCCATTGTGGAGTCCCTCATCATGGGATTCCATGATGCAGACTGCACCATCCTGTTCCAGCCAGGCACAACTGTGGATGAAGTCATGCGGACCCACGTGGCTGGGAACACACCACTCCAGCCGGTTCCAGACAGGCAAACCTGTGGATGCCATTGCAGGGTCCCTCATAGCATAGAACACA